GACATGAAAGAACATAACTAACCTTGGAATTTGTATCTTCGATTTAGCATACACCTCCCTTTCCTCAAGAGAAACCGAAGGAAGAACAAAAGGAGTCGGAGCCGACATATCGTGACCTCGAAGCGAAGAAATATTTCGTGACGTTGGAGATGCAATTCGAGAAAATCGTTGGCGCTTGCAGTTGTTGGCACCAGATTCCTTCTCCAAATCGGCACTCAAAGAGATCGGGGATCCCCCGGCTCTGGAACTTCCCTCGATGTCTGAAACTAGAATTGAGATCAGAGGCGAATCCTCGAGATCTCTGCTCCCGGCAATAGATCTCCTTTTCCTGAACAATGATCTCCTGACTAACTGTCTATTCGATCTGGCGGAAGAAGGAAGACCACTAAAGGGTCCCGTGATATCCTTAAACGGCGCGGACTCGTTCGTGATTGAAAGATGACCAGTCCATGCGATCTCGTCGCAATGTCTTTAACAGACCACAAAGCTCGTTCAACATTGGAGAGTTCCTGTAATGCACTAAAACCCAGAAAGCAACTCCAGAAGTCAGATATCAAAGATAAAAAACATATATGATAAAAGAACCAAAGAATTCAGAACTAACCTATATCTTCGGACCAAAGGCGAGGAATCCTCGCGAAGTTAAAGTCACCCATTGACAGATGATCGACCTGAAGACAAAGAATCCTTCTTTCCAATCTTGGTCTCAATATGCAATCCCTTGGATAACATGACGTCCTGCGTGCAGCGACACGAGGAAAGTCCCCGGACTCTGGTTGTTCCTTTTCATCAGGCATAAGTGCTGCAGCTCCTCCAAACCAAATCGCAACCCTCTTCGCGAGCTCTAACCATAAGGGCCACGAGATGCCTCAAGAAATTTGGACTCATCTGGGTGAAAGATATGCCCAAATCGGCTATGATTTTGAGGATTGGTCCTGGAATCGAGAAGAAAAGACCGCAAGATTCAAAGAATGAGAGATACGCTCCACGAAACCCATCGCGAATGGATTCGGGGGTCTCGAGCGTGGAAGCAAGCTCGAGTTTGATTCTTTGATCAACGCCATATGCCGTGTACAAAGCTTCAAGATGAGCAGCAGTGGTCGTTGGAAGAGGAAAAGAAAACAAAGAACCCATATTTGTTAGAGAGAAATCGAAAATCGTACAAGCAAGAGTTGAGAAGAGAAAGAAAAAGTTAGGAGAGAAAGAAAAACCTCCAATATTTATAGGACAATTTGCCGACATAAAAAATGACTCTATCATTAACGAGAAGATAATGATTAGGTTTCACCTCGAATATGACACAAATAGCCGTTAGAGACGCACGCCAACGGTCCATAGATGGGACGAAGACACCTGTCGGGTTCCTGCCGCCGCAGAAACTGAACCGCCTCTCGCCGTTTGAGTTCGAATGGGCCATCTTTATCTTTTAATTAAAGAAAAAGATTGGGGGGACAAATGTTGGACCCAATTTCGGCATCAAGATAAGTAGGCCCGAGCCCATGTAAGATTGTTATGAGCTCGACATCGATCAGACCCAACGAGATCAAAATGGTATCCCATAGATCACAGAGGCAGTTGGAAGAGAAGAAGGCTATAAAAGGGAGCAAGAATGAAGTAAAACACACACGAAAAAAACCCTAGAGCATATCACTTATAACATCGACCTCACTCCATATATTTCTAGTTCTCTTATAACTTATACTTTTCATTGTCGTTTTTGATCTTGTTTGCTACCTTGTAACGAATTCTACATTCAAAAAGTCCATTTTTGTCAACCAAATTCAGATAGTATCTTTGTGTTTAAGAGCATCGTTGCCCACATCATTTGTCTTCCCCTGATTAAACTCTCGATCACTACAAAATACGTAGTGTGAATTTTAGGATCTACAACGTGTTATCTAGGATAGCTTGTGGAACTTTCAGAATGGGCTTCCAGAAATAAAAAAATAATAATGTTTTTCCAGCATAAGTATGTTTTAAAAGAGAATCAAATGCGTGTAAAAGTGTTAGACAGTTCTTTTAGGGATGGCTATCCTGAATTGGAACTTAATCGTCCAAAACAACAACAAAAAAAAACAACATAATCAAAATCTTTTAAAAAAAATCATTGGCTATAGAAATAACCAAATATATGTTATTGTCTACAAAACAGAGAACACATGTCAAACATAGAACATGAAAATAGGATAGCTTAAAGCATTTTAGTAATAATCAAAAAGTGTTAAATGTGGTGTCATTATAAAACACACGTGTTATCTAGGATAGCTTGTGGAACTTTCAAGATAGGCTTCCAAAAAAACAATGAGTGTCTTTTCTTGCATAAGTATGTTTTGGGAGAAAATCAAAAGCGTCTAAGGAATGTTAGATAGTTCTTGTTCATGATGGCTATCTTGAATTGGAACTTAATCGTCCAAATCAACAAAAAAAAAAACAACATAAATCAAAATGTATAAAAAAAATCATTGGCAATAGAAATCACCAAATAGAGGTTTTTGTCTACAAAACAGAGAACAAGTATCAAACATAGATCATGAAAAGAAGATATCTTGAAGAATTCTCAGTAATTATATCAAAGAAGATGTTAAATGTGGTGTCATTGTAAAACACACGTGTTATCTAGGATATATTGTGGAACTTTCAGTTTGGGCTTCAAGAAAAAAAAAAGTGTCTTTTCTTGCATAAGTATTTTTTCGAAGAGAATCAAAAGCGTGTAAGGAATGTTAGACAGTCATTGTTCAAGATGGCTACCATGAATTGGAACTTAATCGTCTAAAAAAAAAATAGAACAACATAATCAAAATCTATAAAAAATAGATCATTGGCTGTAGAAATCATCAAATAGAGGTTATTGTATACAAAACAAAGAACACGTACCGAACATACAACATGGAAATAGGGTAGCTTAAAGCATTTTCAGTAATTATATCAAAGAAACTATTAAATGTAGTGTAATTATAAAACACACGTGTTATCTAGGATAGCTTGTGGAACTTTCAGGATGAACTTCCAGAAAAAAATGAGTGTCTTTTCTTGCATAAGTATGTTTTGGAAGAGAATCAAAAGCGTGTAAGGAATGTTAGAAAATCCTTGTTCAGGATGGTTATCCTAAATTGGAACTTAATCGTCCAAATCAACAAAAAAAAAACAACATAAAGAAAAATCTAAAAAAAAAAGTTTTCATTGGCTATACAAAATCACCAAATAGAGGTTATCGTCTAGAAAACAGAGAATACGTATGAAACATAGAACATCAAAATAAGGTTGCTTGAATCATTCTTAGTACTTATATCAAAGAAAGTGTTAAATGTGGTGTCATTATAAAACACGCGTGTTATCTAGGATAGCTTGTGGAACTTTCAAGATGGGCTTCTAGAAATAAAAAAAAAGTGTCTTTTCTTGCACAAGTATGTTTTCGAAGCGAATCAAAAGCATGTAAGGAATGTTAAACAATCCTTGTTAAGAATGATTATCCTGAATTGGAATTTAATCGTCCAAATCAACAAAAAAAAAAACATAATCAAAATCTGTAAAAAAAAAATTCATTGGCTACAAAATTCATCAAATAGAGGTTATTGTCTACAAAACAGAGCACACATATCAAACATAGAACATGAAACTAGAATAGCTTGAAGCATTTTTGGTAATTAAATCAAAGGAAGTGTTAAATATGGTGTCATTATAAAACACATGTGTTATATAGGATAGCTTGTGGAACATCCAGGATGGGCTTCCAGAAAAAAAAAAGAGTGTCTTTTCTTGCATAAATATGTTTTAAAAGATAATCAAAAGCGTGTAAGTAATGTTAGATAGTCCTTGTTATCCTGAATTGGAACTTAATCGTCCAAAACAACAACAAAAATCAAAACAACATAATCAAAATCTGTAAAAAAAAAATTTCATTGGCTATAGAAATCACCAAATATATGTTATTGTCTACAAAACAGAGAACACTTATCAAAGATAGAACATGAAAATAGGATATCTTAAAGCATGTTAGTAATTATATCAAAGAAAGTGTTAAATGTGGTGTCATTATAAAACACACGTATTATCTAGGATAATTTGTGAAACTTTCAAGATGGCTTTCAGAAAAAATGAGTGTCTTTTCTTGCATAAGTATGTTTTAGGAGAGAATCAAAAACGTGTAAGGAATGTTGAATAGTCCTTGTGCAGGATGGCTATCCTGAATTGGAACTTAATCGTCGAAATCAACAAAAAACAATATAAATCAAAATCTATAAAAAAATACATTGGCTATAGAAATCACCAAATAGAGGTTATTGTATATAAAATAGAGAACACATATCAAACATAGAACATGAAAATAAGATAGCTTGAAGTATATTCTTAGTAATTATATCAAAGTAAATGTTTAAATGTGGTGTCATTCTAAAACAAACCTGTTATCTAGGATAACTTGTTGAACTTTCAGGACGGGCTTCCAGAAAAAAAGATGAGTGTCTTTTCTTGCATAATAATGTTTTCGAAGAAAACTAAAAGCGTGTAAGGAATGTTAGACAGTCCTTGTTCAGGATGGCTATAGATTTCAATTCAGGATGGAATGTTATCCTGAATTGGAATTTAATTCTCCAAAACAACAAAAAAACAAAACAGCATAATCAAAATTTATAAAAAAAAATTCATTGGCTATAGATATCACCAAATAAAGGTCATTGTCTACAAAAAAGAGAACACATATCAAACAGAGAACATGGAAACATGGTAGCTTGAGCATTTTCAGTAATTATATCAAGAAATTGTTAGATATGGTGTCATTATAAAACACCAACAAATTGTACATTACAGAGATCACGATCTTAAAGTGTCATAAAGGTAACAAGAGAAGAAAAAGAATATTGACAATAAAAAGACTAAAAATTCGATGGAGTTTAACAGATGCAAAGACAGAAGTTGTATGAACTAAATCCACAAGATTATTGCATACTATGAAGCTGGTCCGAATAGAGTTGTTGGTATGGAACTTACTCATTCTTGTACTGTTAGATTTCACCTTCAGGAAAGTCTCCAGATAAGAAAAGCTTCACGACAGGGATTGTAGGCGGATCAGTCTGCTGGGGCTTCTTCCTGCAAACACAAGCAAGAGACTGATCATTAAAGCAAACAACCAAAAGTGGCAAATCAAATTAAAAAAAGACATTGGAAAAACATTACTTACTTGCTTTTTTCTTATGAACTCATCCATTCTCAATCTAAACCATAAGGCTATACTTCAAGTTTTAGAAAGCTATCAATAATCTAAACATTTAAAAACACCAATTTTCCACAATCTAATTAATCAGTAACGCAGAGAGATATCAAAAGGATCTTTTTTTCTTAATGGGTGAATGAATTAGAGCCGCAAAAGAGCTCAAAACTAGGTGACCAATCAGAACACTAAGAAAAAAAAAGTATTCACCTTTGCTTCCTTCTTCTTCTTCGTCGTTCTCCTCTTTTGCATCCTCTGTAATCTCAAGCTTCTTCGAAAGTTTCAGACTCTAATGACTATATTGTTCCAGATCCACATTAGACACATCTGGATTACAGAGTGCCTCAGATGCAATATATGGTTTTGTAACCCTTTTCACAATTGACTTTTCACACATAAAGCAAACATGTTTAGCTCAATTTACAGAGAGATGGCGGAGATGATTACAACGGAGTTGATTACGGCGGAGAAGAGCGACGCTGGAGATAGGCGACGCTGGAGACGAGCGACGCCGGAGACGTTGATGGACGAGATGATCCATTTCAGAGATGATGATGGCCGAGATGATTCATGCCGAAGATGATCGACGCCGAGGACGGGACGAGCTGTCGTCATGCTTTCGTGATTTCAATTTTCAGAAAAAAAAAATATAATTAGAGAAATAAATGGACATAAGAGTAAATGATCTATTAAATGAAACATATTTTTGTGAATTTGGGCATTGAGTGTTAGTTTGGGAACAAAAACTTGGTTTGGTGCTATCTATGGCTTTTTCTCTTCTTTTTTTTTTTGTTTGTGTTTCAACCTTTAATTCTATTATCTACATTTAGTATTAATATTGGAGTTGCATAGGACTATTAGTTATAAAAAATACTCCTAAAATAACAAAATACATATTAATCTTATATTTATTTGTTATATAAATTAACTATTATTATGTGTTTTTTAGTTTTAGTTATTACTAATAAATAATAAAAAATATTTTTAGGTAGATTTAAACAATAACTTATTATAAATTTTGCAAATAAATACAATTTAATAAATAACATTTTTCATTTTTCAAAAGTCAATAAATTTTCATATAAAATATAAATTTAGGGTTTAGTAATTAAAGTTGGAGATAGTTTAGAGGGTTGAGATTTGTGTAAGGTTTTGAGGTTGAAATAATTTAAGCATTTCATTATTTAGTGAATGCCTTATTGGAAATTTATTTTTGAATGCTCTATATTAATATTATTAGCTGCGAAGTAACTAATAATACCATGTACACGAGTGTTTAAACATTTATTATTTGTTTTTAAATGTATGATGAAACACATATTACTGAATTAAAAAGCAAAAAATTGCATAGTTTGCATATTAGTCTATTTGACTTTAATATTCAATGTATATCATATATAGTTTGTAAAGAATATGTTAATTAATTGGAAAACTGATATCTTTCAACGTTTTCTATTGAAAAAATCAGATTTTCATTTTCTATACACAATTTTAAAAAAACTTAAGCAATTAAAATATGATACGTTAAGAATACAAACTGAAACTAAAAAAATTGATAGATTTTCCATTTAGGTGGTAGGTAAAAATTAGAACAGTTAAATTATTTTTGGTAATATCATAAATTTAATGAGTATTATGTAGAGTTAATAAATGATTATATTAAATTAATAGTTATTAATTCAATGGCATAACTTGGTAATTTTTGAGGAAAATTAAGAGTTATTTGTTTTTGGTATTTCCCTTTTAATAGTTTAGATTTTGCGTAATTCCGCTTCCACACTAGTCTCTTTTACAGTTCTCTCTCTAGAAGGCTTTTGCTCAGAATAAATTCTACTCTTTATGCAATTAACCTTTTCTTAATAGAATTTATCACACATTATTTATTATTACTTATCGTTGACTATCGCAAAAAATCCAGTTTTCTGAAAAAATATGATTTTTATTTATTATTTTTATTGTGCCAGTTTCAGCTCCCACATTAAATCCGAGCAAAAGTCAGACACCAGGTAATCCAAAAGTAAACTAGATCACAAGAATTAACCACCAAAAAAAGATTGTGGGACATTCCACGTATTAATAGAGAAGGAGTAAAGAAAACATCAATACAAAGAGGGCAAATACTGGTTGATATATTCTTAGATAGCCACTAGGGTTGGATAATCGTGGTCCCGATCGGGTTTCGATTCAGGTTCATTCGAATTTCGAATTTTCGAGTTTATGAATTTCAGCTCCATTTGGATATAATAAGACTTCAGGTCAGATTCAGTTTGGATTTAAACGGGTTCAGTTTGGTTTAGTTAGATGTCTAAGATCCATTTGAACCCAAAATAATTGCGGTTTCGAATATAAGTCGGTTTATTGGTTATACAAGTATTAATTTGTACTAAATAAATTCAATATATTTTCAATCATTTTAATAAATTTGTGTACATGGCTTATTCGAACTTTTATAATATCCAAATGTAGCTGAAATTCATAAACCAAAAAGACCTGAAACCTAAATGAATGCGAACAAAAATCGGATTGGGAACCCGATTGCCGAGCTTTGAGTCAAACCATATTGATGTCCTTTAAAATAAGTTTTGGAGACTCGTCTATCAACCATACGAGACTTGTCCTTGAACTCTATGTAATAATCTTAAACACAAGATAATTCATGATAAAAACCAAAGCCTTGTACGAACTACAATCATACATAACGAAACATAAAACAAATTAAAATCAACAACTGACAACGCTATAAAGGTAAGAACAAATACAAAAATATATATCAGAAAAAGTATTTGAATTAAATATTGGTGTAGTAGATAATTCTTTTAGGTACTTAATATAATGATAGTGTATTTTTAAATACATATTAGGGATTTAGATTGGATATTGTACCATCTCTTTTTAGAGAATGCATCCTGAACATATTAGGGACTTATGGTTCATTTGCTAGTTACCGAGTCTTAACCCCCCTGCACGCAGAGTTCCAAACTCTACTATAGGCCATGAAATCCTCTATTCAGCTAGACGTTAGCTCAATGACCTTCGAGAGAGCCTGCCTCCAGCTAGTCAATCTCCTAGAAGAAGATAACGAAGATGATATCACTCAAATTACCCTAAGAAGTGAATTACTCTCATCAAAAGAGGTTCAATTGTAGTACTTAGGGATTGAATCCACAGAGAGCTAAGGCACACACTAGATCTAATAGTTATAATTAAGCTAGGTAATCAAATAATAAAATAGAACAGCAAAGAATAATAAATAAAGCAGTAAACAAGTTGAACAAGATTAATTGTTCAGCTTGGCAAGAAGTTGTTTATGGAAGGATGGTTGCTATATCTAGGGTTTCTATTCAGGTAATCAGAATTATAATTCTATAGATGCCTAACAAGTTGCACGCATGACATTAAAGAGCTTCAACTGTTAGATAAATCCAATAGCTTTCGCTCAATAGACTCGTCTGTTGACCTAATTGGCGACGATATCGATCAATGTTAAACAGCTTATATCGATCGATATATGTGCTGTCGATCGATTACTATATAGGAGCATCGATTGATATAGCTTTAGATTGAGTTGAGTCAGTGCCCACCAAGATCATAGACTGGATATCGCTCATCCCTAGAGGATCTTAGCTTGTACAGGATGATATCAGGATAAAGGTTAATAAATTAAGCTATTCCAGTTCATGGTTCTAGTTCATGAATCTAGAAACAAAAATTAATAACATCTTAACAATGAATATCACAACTTAGCAATCTATAGTTGGGGCTAATCCCACAACCTATCTGAACCCTAAATCCAACAGGTGGCTCTATTCAGACATGAAGATTGTCACACAAATCATAGATGAATAGATATAAAACTGAAATAGAATAGATATAAAAACTAATGGAGTTCCAGGAGAACTGATAGGATTTCCTCCCTTCTCTTCTAACTAAGAAAAACAATAGATGAAAAGAAAACTTGTGTGTAAAGCGTAGCCGTCAACAATGACTTAGAAATAACATAAATAGGGTTTCTGGTCGTCAAGGGTATTTTGGTAACTTGTGGGCTTCAGTCGGTTATGAAATATAGTCAGCCCACATTCTGGCATTCATATCGACCGATATGAAGGCTTTCCCATCGATCGATATACATTCCTCTTCTCGACAGCCTTCTCTCGCGAGGCAGACTGACCACTCTTCAGTAAAACAGGCATACCTTCTGATCTAACCGTTGGATTGACCTCAAACCGGTGGCATTTGAAAGCTAACTCAAGAATATATCTTGTGTCAAAATATCAGCTAAATATCACCATGTTAAGGTCTCCATCAATATCTAAACATCTGACGCGTCTGCGCAGTTCTGCACTTAAAGGCTCCAAAAGACACCAAAATCACCATATTTCTCCAGAACGTACCTGAACATGTAAATACTCTAAATATACTCTATATTGTAGTAAATATATATGAAAACACCTATAAATGATGGCTAAAAATGGGTAAAATCCATGGTCAATCAACTCCTCCAGACTTACCTTTTTGCTTGTCCTCAAGCAAAACAGATAGGCGGTCTCTCTAAAAGAGGTTTGAAAACAGCAAGGACTCAAAAGATTTTTAAAAATCAGTTACCATCTCTCTAGTAGTGCAAACCAAATCATAAACATCCTAACCTTAGAAGCACATTATACAATATCCTAGTATAACAACCAAATTCACCTAGTCAACAACTCAACATATTCTGTCTGACAATCCCCTCTACTAACCTCATTTCTTGCATAAAATAAAAGTGCAGGCTTTACCTTGGGAATATCGAACAAAGGACACGTGGACTCTCGCCCCAACAGATATCTGAGTAAATAGGCAGTCTTATTCTGGTTTCTTTTCTCCCTATATCTCCCTTCTCTAAATCCAAAGTTTTTTTATTATTTTTTTTCGATTTCTTTTATATCAATCCCAATGAACAATAGATGTTCATCTTATTGATCTTTCTACTTTTTGTAGCTTTTCTGACAAAGTGTAGGTGAATAGTGGGGTCATGGGTAATGTACCTCTCCCTCGCTTCCACAATGTGTGATCATTCCTTTGAATTAGAATAGTGGCGTCATGGGTAATGTACCTCTCCCTCTGCCTCTTAGGAAATCATCTCAATCTTTTATTATTCTTTTTGGGATGCCAAAGGAAGGAGAGAAGGAAACCAAAATCACCAAGACTTTCACCTTTTAGATCTGAAGGAGGAATCCGATCCAGTGTATACCAATCCCCAAGACAAGCAAATCAAGCCAATATTAGGTTGGAGGTCAGCTTTGGCTCCTTCAAACATTCCCAACAAGTGCAAACATAGTTGACAGGTTGATCCATTTTAGTATCTCTAGTACTTGTGCAATCAGTAAATCTAAGACTGGTCTAAAGAGTGGTTAGATGACAAGTAATAAATCGAAATAGATCATCATCCCCTTCTTGACTCAAGAAAAACTTAAAAAATAATATTTAAATAAGACTCATAAAGTAGATAAACGTTAGTAATCCCCCCAGACTTAAATTACACTGTCCCCAGTGTAACACAGTCGATGGTAAGATGAAAATCAAAAAGCATAAGTACGAAATTTAAAAAGTAAGAACGAAAACCTGCTCAGTGTCGATCG